GTTATGGTATTCTCTATTGAAAATATACAAATTTCACACAACATCAATATTAGTGGTAACTTAAAGACCATAAGAAACAAATCAACAACAAAACCATCTAGTCATTGTTAGGCAGAAAGACATTAGGAGACCTAGAGGCATGTTATCAGGCTACTTGAAAAGAAAGAAAGATTTCATTTTTTCCTTTTCCTTTCTCCTTTTTTTTAAAAAAAAACATTTGTTATAAATAAAATCCAAGCAAGATTATAGTTTCAAATGTTAGTCCAGGAGAATGTAACCTCTTCTGTGCATGCTAATAATAAAGACCAGGCCATGTGAGAGACCGGGAAACACCAGTAGGTGTCAAGACAAACTGAATAGAAGTATTCTACCTAGGAAATAAACTGGAGTCTCTTTTCCTCTAACATTGATCAAAATAGCCCATTATGGTTGTCAAAGAACAATAACCTCAGAGGAAGAAAACAATACTCCTTAAAGAATTACTTAATCACAAATATAATATGGCACTTGATTTGCTATAATTACCATCTTAACACTTGCCCACCTTGATTTCTATTGCTGTGAAAACCTATCATAGTGCAGTAAACTCTGTTTATACTATGTAGAAGTACTTCTGTGTCTTGTCTGAATTCTTCTATGGAGGACCCAAAACAGAGGGACAGTCACCAATTCACCCAGTGTTAGGACCCAGTTTCCTAGTGACAGTAATCATGTCTGACCACTAGCAGAACTAAGGAGAACATTCCAGACGTACTGACTGACCTGCTGCTGCTTCTATGGCTCAGAACACCACCCTTTTCCCTTTAAATCTTCAGAATAACATGCTTATCTAAGCATTAATCAGAAATCAGAAGTTTCATGCTGTTGCTACAAACAGCAATACTCTAAATAAAACTTTCTTATTTCCAACTTAATCTAGTATATTCTTAAATAATCAGCTCCACAGATGTAGGCATGGCACCTAAATGTCCAACAAGTTTCTGACTATATGATGCAATCAAGACAGTGAAGTATTATCTAGATTTTCAAAATTATAGTGTGGTTATGTATTTGTTTAAAAGACTCATATAGAAGCATGTTCTTCTTTTTAAAGTACATTTACATTCAAATTTTCATTTCTGCCAAAAATGTGGAAAACTAGAACAAGCATCTCTCATAACCTAAGAGTACATATAAGCTGGAAACATCCACTAAACACAATTTGTTAAGAAAGCTAAGGTTAGAGAGCAACCAGTCTAAATCCTAAAGCAAGACAGACTAGGAAGTAACAGGATGGGAACTGCACTCAGTGATGATGGCTCTAGGAGAGAGATGCCAAGCCCCGTGCAGTGGGCGAGGAGGCTTCAGGATCTCGGTGCTGCTGCAGGTGCATGTAGTTAGTCTGACAGCACAGAGCTGTCAGCATAGACTCATCCACAGACCCTCAGTGCTCAGAGGACAATTGGGAGGAGAGTAGGGGATGCAAAGAACTGTTCCCCAAGGGGTGGGCAGCTGTGGGAAATGCATAATGCCCTACTTGGACCTTTCTCCCCTGCAGAACATGAGTATGAAACTACAGGAAGAACTGTGGCAAAATCTCCTGCATAGAAGTGTGTAAAACAAACAAAAAACTGTCCTGCACTCATAGAGGATGGGCAAAAATATAGTCCCACTTCCAGGACTCTTTGTTGATACAATGAACAAATTTGCCCATAAGTGAACAGCAAAAAACCCTCTTCTATGGTAGGCCCACCAAAGATGAAAGGCAGAGCTGATATATACCTGCTGGGGAGAAGGGTTGCTTTTATAACAAAGGCTCTCTATGGAGACCCAAAATATAGGACTTTGCATGGAAAAAAAAGGAACAAACTGGCCTTCCCTCCAGGATGGCAGCTTCAGTCTGTGGCCAGTTGAGGGGCAGGCAAGGGACAGAGACCTTTCTGAGGCAAGCCACAGGGACACAGGCAGGATTAGGCTGAGGAACGACAGGATAGATAGGAACACTGTTGGGTACACCCAGAACTACGCTATGTACAAGTGAAGTTTTGTGAAATACCAAGCCAAAGTTTCACAGCAGGTTATGGTGACAACACTGAACCAAAATCCAACTTGCATCCTGAACACACTAAGTCAAAAACCTGTATTCATGATGGAGCAGAATAGGCAAGGATACTTCTTGGCCTAAATTCTGTCTAGGTCAGTCTCTACTTTTCTACACCAATACTAACACCCAATAAAAAATTAAGAGGTACATAAAACAACAGCATCAGCAACAAAAAGCACTGCTGAAAACAAACTAATCACCAGTTGCAATGTGCACACCTGTTATCACAGGTACTTGGGAGGCTCAGGCAGGAGAACTGCTTTAGTACTGTCTCAAAATAAAATGGGAGGCCGGGGAGATGGCTCAGTGGAATAAGTGCTTCCCTGGCAAGTGCAAGGGCCTGAGTTCAATCCCTGGTTCCACCTAAACAAA